CCAATACCCAGTCCTGCTCAGCTGCCCACTGCCAACTACCCTCCTGTCCCAGACAAAGGACACCACTCTGCCCCCCCACTCTCACCCCTCCTGACCCCTAAAGCCCACAGGCCCAGGGCTGGCAGCCCCTGCCACTACCTGGGGAAGGTGAATCCCCTCGAATGACATGCAGTACTCTTCAGAAGACATCTCAGCAAACAGCTCCAGCAAGGTGTAGCGACTGTCGAAGTCTACGTGCTGCTCAATGCCATCCTGCTGGCTGAGGGACAGCAGGACATAGGCCCGGCTCCCTGCAACAACAACAGAAACCCTTCAGGCCCCATAAAGATAACCCTCACCCCATCTTCCCTGCACGAGATAGACTCACAGGCAAGGAACAGCTTTGCTGCTCAGTGTAACCTAGAACCACGTTCTCTCCTTTAACCTGGATTGGCAACATTTTGCTCCACCAAATAACACTGCATTTTTCCCACCCCTAAAGCTGCACGATTCCTCCAAAGCACCAACCCCAAATAACTGACTCCAGAACAGGGTTCCAGGGAAGAAAAAAGTTAAGTTTGAACCTGAATCAGCCCCTCATTTGCCCTGCTGGAAAGCCACATGAACTTGGGCACGAGGACAGGGAAAGCCAGATCTCTTGTGGGACACACTACCACTAGCAACCTTCCAGGTGCACCCAAGCCTCATCATTCTGAGCCATGGCAGCTCCTCTCAAATGAGAGCCAGGCAGCACCTGGGTGAGGACCAGCCTCTCTACCCACCAGGGCCTGAGGAAAGGCACCCTGCCAAGAACAGGCCAGAGCCTTTCCAACTGACAGCCTGCAGCAGAGACATCCCAACGCTCTACCAAGCCTCTTGGCATAAGTCCTCCTAACAGTTATTCAGCATCCCAGCTCAGGAACCTGTTAGGAGAAGTTCCCAAGTCTTAAAGCACTCCAGACAACTATGACCCAGAAGCCACTTGGAAGCTCCAGTCTGATTCTTCCCCTTTTGCCAACAAGCCCCGAGACACACTGCTTCCCAGGCGTCCCACACCTACAGAAGGACTGGCACCCCTCAGCTGCCCAGCAGCACCTCCTCAGTGGCACTGAGCAGCAGCAGCCCCCACCTGCATCATGAGAAGCCAGGGCCCTCAGCATCTTGCCAGCACTGCGGCGGATTTGCTTCTCCGTGTGGCACAGCATCTTCATCAGCAAGTCAAGGGCTCCCGTCTCCTTGAAGGCACCTGCCAGCGAACCAATGCTGGCATACGCGCTCCGCACGTGGATGGCGGGACATCTGTAGTGAACGGGCTGGCTGCCTTCTCCTCTTTCATCCACTGCCCTTCCAGCTTCCTCTTGCCCAACAGTGCCGGGCAGCTGGCACACACCTCTTCTGTAGACATCCACATCAAGATGTTCTCCGGCTTGGTCTCTGCAGAGGCGGCACTGCTGCCTCCCACTGCTCTCTCTTCCAAGCTGATGATACTCCACTGGATCAGGTATTCAGGCTGGCCATTGTGGCCTTGCCGCTGCCGGAGCAGCTCTTCCGGGTAAGCCTGCAGTTTGGGTCCCAGGTGCACAAGCAGGTTGCCATTGTGCCTCTCATTCACCATGACAGGAAATGTGCCTGTGGAGACAGAGGGGAAGCAGAGGCAAGCTTTTATTTCTGAGCTGCATGCCAGGGAAAGCAGGAACAAGCACCTCAGTTGCTTGACAGTAGAAGTGGCTGAGGCACAGCTTTTGATACTGAGACCCTGCACCCAGGATAAAGCTCTGAAGAATACCCCATTTTGCAGAGGGTCACATCCTCCCTCCAAGAAATTGAGCCAGTGTTTCATATATAAACCCTGTTCCCAGCATTACTGGCACACAAAGGGGTTCTCCAAAAAATCAAGGCAAAATTGGCCTGTTCAGATCCTCTTATAAGACCACAAATAACAGCAGGAGATCTGAGTCCTGTTCTCATCTTTGTCACTGTCCACAACATGACTCTGTGCAAGTTGTTGCTTTTGCACTTCTGTCTTCCCTTGTTATTTACCATTTATATCTGTTTAGACTGTAAGTTTAGCTAGAGCTCAAGATTTCAGGCAGACACCCTCTCTAACCTAACTTGAGTCACCAGGCCCTCAAGAAAATAACCAGCAATTTCTCAAATCAATTTCATATACATGAAATCAGGTCACTTTTGAAAAATGTCCCAGTTTCGGCTGGGATAGAGTTAATTTTCTTCCTAGTAGCTGGCATAGTGCTGTGTTTTGGATTTAGTATAAGAATAATGTAGTGATAACACACTGATGTTTTAGTTGTTGCTAAGCAGTGCTTGTCAAGGACTTTTCAGCTTCCCATGGCCAGGGAGCTCAGGGACTGGCTGGGCGTTGGTCAGGGGGTGGTGAGCAATTGTATTGTGCATCACTTGTTTTGTATATTCTTTTATCATTATGATTTTGCTCTGCTGTTTTATTAAGCTGTCATTATCTTAACGCACAGGTTTTACTTCTTTTTTTCCTGATCCTCTCCCCCATCCCACTAGGGCAAGAGAGCAGCTGCATAGTGCTTAGTTGCCAGCTGGGGTTAAACCACAACAGCCACTCCTTGGCCTCCTCTCAGATATTCTTTGCCTTTACAACATTTAGCCAATGGGTAAATTCAACAAAATGAAAAGATTGTTAGTCTCTGCTGCCTGACTATTCTGCATATCTTATGACCACAAAGAAGAACCCATGATGCTTCTCTTTCATCTATGCAAAGAAAAGCATGAAATAATTTGCTGTCTAAGACTGAGTGCCAGCAATCAGCTGGCCAACAGTAAATGATACCACACACAGTGGACTGACTTCATTACTATAAAAGATGCCAGATCAGAGTCTGATAAGGTTCTCAGAGGAGCTCAGGCAGGCAATAGTGGAAACACATGAACAGGCCCTCTTGTTGTCATTTACACATACTAACAAGACAAGCAGTGAGGCAACATGCTGTTCAGCTGATGGGAACACAAGTCATTCTTAAAAAATGAGCTAATAAACATAGGAAATAGTCAATCCATGTACAACCAAAGAAGATGCTGACCATCAAAGATGATGGTAAGCACAGTAAGGTGTTTCCCAGGTGCAGAGAGAAGAAGCCCGAACTCCCAAGAAATTCATACCTACCTTCAATTGTGCCTTCCTTGGAGTTTGCAGCAAGCCAGCTAGGAATCTTCTTGCAGACTCTCTGTAATAAAAGAACCTAGTTATTCTCCTGTGTTTTCTAACAGTGTTTAGATGCCACACCATAAACCAAACAATGACTTTCCCTAACTGTGCTCTTACAGTGCACAAACCACCCTACCCCAAGAGGTTCATGTAAAATTCATAGTAAAAGAAAAGCCTCTGTGAAGCGTTGTTTTGTTTGAAAACTTCGCCCCATCCCCACATCATGGCATTTAGCATGAAAAACCCTCTTTAGAGCAGAGCAGAGAAGGGGCCCTTGTAGCTAGGCAGGGGAGAAGTTGGATTTAGGGCACCTGAAGAAGCAGCTGCAATGCATATGACTAATGAGGCACAGTAGAGCCTACGATAAACCACAGCTAAATTGTTAAACTGCTTAAAACCGCACACTACAGTAAGTTTCCGAGTTGTGGCAGATGAATACGCCAGCTACCGTGCCAAGCCCCTAAAGCACCAGGTGCAGAAGCACAGCCTGGAACGGCCTGGGCGCAGGCAGACAGAGCACCCCCGGGACGGCAGGGCACGAGGCCGGCCGGCGCACGGAAACGAGCAGGGCCTCTGAAAGCATTTGCCTCGGCAGTGGCCGCCGCGGAAAAGACGGGTTTTCTTCCAGGCCGCTCCAGACACCTCGGCAAGCCCCGCTCCACCTCCCGCTCCCTTCCCGCACCGCTGCCCCGTCGCTCCCGCCCCAGGAACGGCAGCCAGGCCCGCCGC